TTTGATGTGTGCACTTATTGCTATAAATTGGCCTCTGATCACTGCTTTTGCTGTGTCCCAAAGATTTTGGTATGTTGTGTTTTCATTTTCGTTTGATTCAAGGAATTGTTCAGAATCATATCCCAAATTTTATCTCCAGTCCACATCTGTGTCCTAAACTTCAGACTTATATGTCCATCTGGTACTTCTCATCTACTCTTGGATGTTTAAAGGCATCATCTCAAAGTTAATATCCCAAAATAGAGCACATTCTCTTCCTTCAGGCTCCCCTATTTCAGCAACTCCATCTTTCAGTTGTTCAGGCCAAAATATTCGTGTCCTCCTCCACTCCTCCTTATGGCCCCCATCAATAAATTCTGATGACTCTTCAGCATGTATCCAGAACTCAATCACTTTTCTTGACCTCCACTGCTACCACCAAGGTCTGAGCCACCATCCATTCTCACCACCTCACTGGGCTCCTTTTCAGCCTATTGTCTCTCCATGGAACATTTTCCTCCTGAGCTTGAAACCTTCCAACGGTTCTCCATTTCTCCCAGAGTGAAAGCAGAAGCCTTTGCAAGGCCCCCCAAGACCTGGCCCCCATTATCACTCTGTGCTGCTCTCTTGTAGCACTTGCCCTTGCTCCCTCTGCTCCAGCTACACTAACTTCCTTTCCACAGGTCCTCCTACACACCATGCACATTCCACCCTCAGAGCGTTGGCACTGGCTGTCCCTTTGCTTGGAATCTTCTTCCCCAGATATCTCCCAATGGTTCACTCCCTCATGTCCTTGCAAGTCTTTGTTCAAATGTCACCTTCCCTTATAAGATCCTGCCTGACCAACCTATTCAAAATTTAACTTTCCCCCATTCCTAAACTCCCTTCCTACTTTTTTTTTCATTGTCCTTACCATTTTCTAATATACTATACAATTCATTTACTATGGTTTTTTTTTTTTTTTTTTTTAATGTATTATCTCTTTTCTTCCCATTAGAATGTAAGCTCTGTGAGGTCAGGGAGTTTGAATCTGTTTTGCTCACTAATGATTCCCAAGCTTCTAGGACAGAATTTGGTATACAGTAAGTGCTCAATAAAGATTTTAATAAATCAAATAGAACACATTTAGAACAGGGAGGGGTTTCAGTGTTTTCAGTTTACACATTTCTTAAGTGTTGGGCTGTGTCTCCTCCCTCAGATGGGGGTCTGAGGGCATGTCTCCTGACTCCTCCCCCACACCAAGCACTAGACTCTGCCTGTCGGGTTGGGTGAGGTCAGAGAGAGGCTGAGGACTTAGTTCACAGTGAGTGAAATAAATAAACATCACAGCTATATTCACAAATGAATAGATACATAAAATCCCACCAATGTACTTGTGGAAAAGTAACCCCAAACCATTCCCTACTGCCCTGGGATTACCAATAGGCCAGCAACCCTGTGGTTCATCATGGCATTTTGGAACCCTGCCCAGCAGTGGCTTTCCGGCATGATCTAAGGATCCTCACTTTGCCATTACTGCTCCCTCGAGAAAAGGAGCTTTTACTTTCCCTCCTGATGCATCTGGACTTGGGCCAGGACCCACTGAAGAAGTCCAGATAGGGTTTTACAGCCCTGGAATATATTTTTTAAGTATCAGGGACATACCCTTAGGTGGGGAGCCTCAGGCTGGGCCAAGATCTGTAGAGGAGGCCAGGTAGGGGACAGCTCATGTCCCTCCAGCAGGCACTTACTTGCACCAGGTACTTGACATCCTTATTTCATCTGATTCCAAGGTTGACTGTAGCTGCTGACTATAGAGCTTAGAGAGGTTAACTGATTTATTCTAAGTCTCACAACCAAGAAGCAGCCCCCTCTCCTCTGTGCCCAGGGACAGGAACTCTACAGATAGAAAGAGGGGCAGAATAAACCTTGTCCATCTCACCGGCTCAGGCTTGTGCTTGGCTTGCGTTTCATGGGAGAGAGGTTGGGCAGGGCCAGCTCTCCAATGTTCCTGGAGCCTGACCATCCTGAAAGTTGGCATTCTTTGGTTGATCCTCCCCCTCCCCCAGGCTTTCAGAGATAGTGTTTGTGGAGAGTCGAAGAGCACTGGCCCCATACTAGGTCTCCAGCCATCCCAGAAGCTCCCCCCACCCACCCCTCCCAGTACAGCCTTAGTCACACATTGAAGGCAGGATGGTCTGGTTGGGGGTGGTGAATGCCTGAAATGCCACATTAGAGAGCTAGTTGGGCATGCATGGCCCCCCTTTGTACCCAATCCCTGAGAGTCACTAGGATCTTTGGCATCTTGCTTCAGTATCTGAGAGCTGAGTTTCAAGGAGGGTAATTTAGGCACTTGGCCAGAGCTGAACTTGTTATGGAGGGCCCTGGGAATTGAGGGTACAGGGGGAAGAATCCAACAACTTTGTGGTTCAGGCCAAAGCTGCTTTCTGTGCCCTCCCAACTCTCTCCACACACAGATGTAGTCATACTTGCCCACACAGGCTTACACCCAGCAGAAACAAGTAGTTTGTCCCAGCCTGGGAGAGAGAGGGAGGGGAAGACCGAAGTGAGCTGACCCACAGGTCAGAGAAACAGCCTGGTTTCTCTGAGCAGGGCGTGGGCCATCCTCATTTCTGGCAGAACCTGTCAGCATGTGCCAACTCTGAGTCAGCCATGCCCATCTGCCCAACAACCCCCTTCCAGGGAGGAGGCTTTAGTGCCTATGCCTGGGCCAGAGGCCAGAAGAGGGTTTGTGGGAGGTGGGTTTAGGATGTATAGCCTGGCTGCAGCCCTCACCATGAGTATCTGGAGGAGAAGGAGAGATGATGGTCTCAGTTGAAGCCCTGGTTTGGGGCATAGGGTTCAGGGTTGGGACTTGACACAAATAAATTAGGAATGATGAGTAAGATGAAGCTGCTGGCAACTACCTACTGGTGTCAGAATGTTAGTGTGTCTCTGCCTGGGAAGAGGAGGGCTTGAGAAGGCATGACTTGATGAATAGAGAGGCCTGTGTTGGAGGTCCAGGTGGTAAACTCTAAGGACAGAGAAGCCCCCTAGAGGAGTGTGTTCTGGCCTAGGAGATAGTGTTGAGAAGGGATGGCAGAGATAGGAACACACAGATGCCCCCACTCCCAGCTGGGAGTCTAAAGTAAAGCCTGCAATGATGGGCTTGCTCATCCTTGAATTAACACAACTGTGGCCCCAGAGTGGAAGGGAAACCAAGGAGGGTTTGAGCCTGCTGGTGGACAGGACTGGAGGTAAGTGGCAGATAAGGGGCTGGCTTCTCTGTGTAGCAGAGGAGGGGCATGCAGAGTCTATGGCTATCTCCAAAGCCCAGAAGTCCTGACCCAGTCTTAGCTCTGAGAACCATGAAAACTTATCCACCAAATTGCTCAAATCCCTACCCAAAATGTTCCTAGGCCTGGTTGTACTGGGAAGAGGAGGGGTTGTGGGTAAGCCAGGCCTCCTCCAGGAAAGGTTCAACTGGCTTCTGCCAGACTCACATTGGTTTTATAGGCCCAGGGGCCTGGGTGGCTTCAATGGGAGTCTTAGCACTTCTTATCTTGGCATGTCCTCCAGCCACCACTACCCATCCTAGACACCCCCCCCCCCGACACACACACACACACACACACACACACTACACAGAGCTGGGTCCTACCAAGGGGTGGGATCTGTGGATCTTTCCTGGGGTTTCTAGATACACTAGAAAGAGTGTATCTAGGTCATCGGAGTTGAGGGTGGGAAATCCACCCTTGCTCAGACAGCCCCTTGGGAGGCCACCCAAGTAAGGGACTCTAGAGTGTCACTTCACACCAGACTCCTTATTTCCCCAGCCTCTCCCACAGACTTCCAGGGGTTAGAGGTGTGAGAGGCTCAAAGCGGAGCCCCTAGAACGTCTGCTGGAAGTTTTCCAGGTCCCGCAGCCTCCCCAGGTGCTGCTGAGGTTAGAACCTTCCCAAGTAAAGGAGTGAGATCCTTGGAGCAAATTCCAAGTATTCTTCTCCAAGGGCCGCCCAATCCACGACTGTGCTCCTATTGCAGAAGGGAAAGCAGACATCCAGGGAGCATCCTGGACACCAATACGCCCATAGGCCGCCCCCTCACTGGCCATCAAAGAGTACACTTCTAGAGGATGGTGCTGATTCTTTCACCCCGATCTCGGCGAGATGCCCACGGGTAGGGCGTGGGGCCGGGCCGCCCGCGGTAATGACGGGGGCCGCGGCCCGTGGGTGGCTGCGGCGGAGGAAGCGGGAGGGATCCGGCTATTTCTGGTCCGGGCGGGCCCACCGGCCAGAGCCAGGGTTGGCCAGACTGCCCGGCCCCCACCTTCGCCCTCTCTCCGGGCCCCGGGGTGAGGGCGGGGAGAAATGAGGGTTGGCAGGCCCAGGGGCGGGGCGGCGTCCGGGGCCCACCCTTGGCCTCCTCCCACCGCAGCCCATTCGAGTCCCTCCACTGCGCTGGTCTCCGACCTGAGGCCGTCCGCAGTGTCGCCGCGCAAGTGTGCCCCGCGGTGCCCTCTTCTGCCGCTGCCTGTCGGGCATGGACTGTGGCCGGGACTTCCTGACCCTGCACGGTGAGTGTCGGGCCGATGCGCGGGAAACCCTGCCTGTGCCACTCCGCGGGAAGCTGTTCCAAGTCCTGGGCTGGGGGCGCCTAGCTCCCTCGGTTGGTTGCCAGCCAGCCCCGCCCGGAGCCGGCCCCTTGGCCTCTTTGCGGAATTGGGGAAATCTCGGCCCGCGGCTCCCGGTGCTGGGACCGCTAGGCGTTTCCAGGCTTGTCCCCCAGATCCGGCATGGGGGCGGGGGTTCGGATCTGAAGACTAGGATGTTCCTTTCCTCCAGGCCCCTCGCCTCGGAGGCTCCACCTTGTTCCAGTCACCGGCGCCTGAACTCCAAGGTGTAGGGGCTGAGGAGGGAAAGAACCAAGCATCCATGAGTGACCGAGTTCTCCCCGCCCTGCCCGTCCGGGCTGCCCCGGGAGGCTCCCCAAAGTCCGGGCGTGCCTGGACCGCGTCAGGCAGCGCGAGTGTGATGGGGGTGGTTGGGCGGAGGACGAGGAGGTGTGTGCAAGGTTGGCCTAGGTCAGGCCGCGCCGCCGTAACTGCCCAGCGGAGAACTCACAGGATGCCCAGGCTGGGGGGAGCAGCCCGATCTGCGGACCCTTCTGGGACTGGGCCAGGTGTCGGCTGGAACTGCCTGGTCTCCTCTCTTTGTCTTGCCGATGTCTGTTTTCTCAGATCTGGGCGGTCCGGGCCAGCTCGCTGCCCTATCGCTGTCCCTCCAGGAGAGGGAGCGGCTGCAGGTCCCAGGCTGCAAAGCCCTGTGGCCCAGCAGGGACCTGGAATCTCTTTGCTGGCCTGGGGAAGTACCCACTCTTAGGAGGCGTTGCCGTCCTGTCCCCCAGATCACGTGCCAGCTCAGCAAACCCAGCCCTCTCACATCAGCTGCTGCTCAACCTTACCATCCTCTCTTCTCTAGTACCCTTGGAGTTAGAGACTTTAGTGCCCACCACATATCCTTCTAAATCGTTTGTAGAAGTGTTGGATGGGAACGAGAAAGGCAGAGCCCTACAGTCCTCCATTGGAGACTCCCTTTCCCCCAGAATTCAGTGGAATTCAGAGATGTTCCCATCAGCTAAGTCTCCTGTTTATCACTTAGCCTGGAACTAGTCTGCGTGGCCCAAGGAGACCTTGTTCAGTGCCTAGAGCTGTTGCCCTCATTTAGCTAGAGCTCCTCAATGCAGCCTTATCCAGCTGGGTCTTGGGATACCTGCCCCTTCCACTTCTCCCTCTTCCCTCCTAAGGCCAGAGCCATTCTTAGCACTCCTGCCAGATGGACATGAGAGAGGCTGGGCAGCTTAGAGGACCACATTGGAGACCTCTGCTTTCTCCCTCACTAGCCATTAGCTGGTGTTGTCCACCCTGTAACCTGCCACCCCTTCCCTGACTGTATTGCACTTAGCCCTCTGGTTGCTACTGGGATGGCTGAAGCTTCAACTCTTGTTGGAATGGGCTCTGCCCTCCATGCCTGTTCCTTTACCTAGTCTCTCTCTCAGGGCAGCCCTGGGATCTTCCCTGAGAGTTCATCACTGAGATTCAGCCAGAGCCTCCCAGTCCTGTGGCATGGGCTTTGTCTCCAGAGTTTTGAGCCCTGGCCATCCTGTTTGAGGCCTGCCTCCCGAATGCCTGGCCTTTCCTGTGAGGCTGTCAACTTCAAGCTGTTTACACTTAAAGCCTTGCTACTTCTAGCTCATCACCCAAAATTAGCTCCCTGAACTGCTTTCTGGGCTCCCTGTAAAACCAGATGGGGAGGAAAGAACCTGTCAAGGAGACTTGGTATGGTGAGAGAGGGTGGTCATTGTGCCCTGTGCTCTTCCGAGTTGTCCACACTTGCACTGGAAAGTCTGCATCCCCACTTCTTTCACAGGTGGGCCCCCAAGGCACTGGACATGTGCTGCAGGACCACAGTCGCTGACTTAAGCAGTCAGCAGTCTACTATAGGAAGAGTGGTAGTTATGTTTGTGTCTCAACTTGGCTGGGCCTGGTTGAGTGGCTGGGCAGCTGGTGGTAGTTATTCCCCATGATGAGACTGGCTATCAACTCCATGATGGGATCTACCACAAGTAACTGAGTAGCTGCCTTTGGGATGTGGTCTGCTTCCTGTATATAAGCAGAAGCCTTGGGAGTGATGGTCTCTAACCTATGGCATGCTTGGACCCTACATGTAGCTGTGTCCTTGCTCAGCAGCCTGCTATGCCGTGCTGACCTTGGGACTTACAATGGACTTAAGTTAATGGCCTGCTGTGTGGTTTGGTAACATTGGGACACTGCCTTTTTACTTGTCAACCTTGGGGCTTCTCAGCCTCAGCAGCTGGCAGGTGTCTGAGTGAAGAAATGCCTCTAGCTCCAGTGGGCCAGGAGCAGGAGGCAGAGTTGAACCTCAAGGTTGAAGGGCTTTCACCCAGCCCCTAGAGCCTGACACTTTGAACTTGGACTTAAAGCCTCCAAATTGTAAGAATAAACTCCTGTTTGTTTAAGCCATCCCATTTGTGGTATATATTCTTGTCAGAGCAGCACTAGGTAACCAGAACAGTAAGGTACTCTGGTTTCCCTCCATTGGCTTAAGGGGTTGCACGGCCCAACAAAATATGAGATGTCCCCTCTGTTCTCACCCCAGATACATGCAGAGGCAGGGTAATATATAAGCATGGATTCCAGGGGCAGATTGCCTGAGTTCAAGTCTTTTCCATTTCTGACAAATCCTGTAACTTCTGTGCCTTAGTTTCCTCGTTTGTAAAATAAGGATGATAATGCCACCTACCTCACAGAGTCACTGTGAGGACTGAATGTAAGGCAGTTAGAACAGTACGTGCTATGCTCTTGCAGGAGACCCACCTGCCTAGTTCCCATGCCATTACTGTCTACACCTTCCAGGTTTTTTTTGGAGGTAACAGGGTGTCAGGAAAAATGTGATAGAACCAGGCTCAAGAACCAAGAGGCCCCTTCTGGTGTCTTTGGAGCCAGCCCCTCAACCTTCTCCCCCTGCTGTGCTCCCTCTACACTCTCTCCATTCTGGCCAGGCCTGGACTGGCCTCTCCAGCAGATCCCCAGGTGTGCTCAATAGGCCACTTTTGCCAAGGCTCTCGCCTCACTGAACACAACCACCTCCAATAACTTTTCTTTTACCCATTCCTTCTGCCTCACTGCAAGAACTGTAATGGTGGGAGATGGGGTAAGGGACCTCATCTAGCCCCATGAAACCTGGGCTCTATGTACTTTGTGACCCTGGGCAAGTCCCTTTGCCTCTCTGGCACTGTCGTCTTCTCATCCATGGGATAGTAATACATGCTTCACAGTGTTGTAAAAGTACTAAAGTAGGATTACTAGTAGTATACCTAGAAGCACTAGGTTGGCCCAAAAGTCAGTACTTCCAAGAGATTATGGTTCCAGACCCACCCATTATGGCAAGTTGGATTGACTGATACCCCTGCTGACCTCACATATGTTTGGGAGCTGTCTGTGCTGAGGGTACCAGGTCCACACTCCACAGACATACTGGTCTCAGGGTTCTTTATCTTTTTTTTTTTTTTTTTTAATTGTGATTTGGGTGAAAATTTACAGAGCAAATTCATTTTCCATACAGCATTTCACATACACTTAGTCTCATGACATTGACTATAATTTACTACAATGCAACAGCTCCCTTCCCACTTCTTCTCGATAGTCATCTCTTCCCTGTGTCCATCCCTCCATGCGCTCCTGCCCCCTGAACTGTCTCCCTGTGCATAAGCAGCCCTTCTTTCTCCCATGATTATTCTCTCCAAGGAGTGTATCTACCTCAGGTAAATGTTCT